CTGTGATTCAGCACTATTGTCCTGATATTATTTACCATCCTGTATTGCCATAGTGAACTAATTCTCTGAGTGGGATTGAACAAACTAGTCTCGCTAGATGAAACCCATGCAAGGACTTCCACCCAGCACAACAGGGCTTGGACTGACAGAACAATTGCCATAGCGCCATTCTGAATTCTTCCCTCTGAATACTACTTGTTTCATAGCCTAAATGGTGCCACCAGTGGATAGCAGGCTTGGGGTAATGGCACCCAGAGAAATAATGCCACCACTGCCTTCAAAGGCCTACTGTGATGTCTAGAGTGGTAGAGCAGGTACAAAGGTCAGTGGAAATACTGCAGGTGTTGGCTCACCAGCATTATATGCCCTCGCCCATTACAATAAAGCAAGAAACTTCTGGAGATTTGTCACCTGCCACTTTTGACTCCAAACCCACACAAATAGCAAATTTCCTATACAGTGGTACCTTGCAAGATGAAAAACGCGCAAGACGAAAGAGTTTTCCGTTTTTTGAGTCGTTCCGCAAGACGAATTTCCCTATACGAAACGTCTTGCGAGTTCTTGCGAGTTTGTTCCCTTTTTCTTAAAGCTGCTAAGCCGCTAAGCCGTTAATAGCCGCTAAGCCGCTAAACCGCTAATAGCCGTGCTTCGCAAGACGAAAAAACCGCAAGACGAAGAGACTCGCGGAACGGATTAATTTCATCTTGCGAGGCACCACTGTATGCGGAGTAGGTTGATTGCATGTCTTTTTATAAAATGCAGGCCTCTAATAATTATATTTGTCCAGTGACCACCAAATCAAACTGCTGCAGTCTTTCGGGGTCAGAAGAGGCATTGAGGCCAATGGTAGTGGCAGGGTTACCCTTGACTTGAAATCTAGCATTCTCATCATCTCTCTTGGATTCAGTGGCAAGAAAAACTACACCCAAGTATATTTCTTCCAGAAATTTGCTCAGTCTTTACTTTAACTCTTTGAGAAATGAAGAGTTTCCCAAACTGTCCTGCTACCCAATATAAACTTACAGATTTGGGAAATCTCTCTCTCTCTCTCTCTCTCTCTCTCTCCCCCCCCCCAATCCTGCTATAACTTGGCTAAGTACAGGTCCTATGTTTGATTGCAGGACTGAACACAGGGCTGTCTTAAGCATATTTGGTGCTCGGGTGCACAGATCGCCCAGCGCCCCCCCCCCAGGTTGCCCCATCCCAGGTGTGCAGGAGGGCAGAGCCAGCCGGCTGCCTCAGCATCTTGCTGGCTCGGTTGCCCCTAAACTCGTGGCACAGAGCCGCCTGCAGCAGAAGAGCCCGCTGCGGCGCTCCAACCGACAGGCAGGCTCTTCCCCGGACTCAACTCTCGGGCCCCAGACTCTCAGCCTGGTGCCCCTGAGAGCCCTGCGCCCGGGTGCCCCGCACCCCTAGCGCCTATGGGTAAGATGGCCCTGACTGAACAGTTTACTTCTCCATTACTTCTTTCTGTAAGGCTTTTAGATTCCCAAAGAACGCTGACATGTTCCATCCTTTAACCTTCTTATTTTCCATCATGCATATATCAGGTCTATTAAACCAGAAAGGCAACTGGAACAGGCTGGTTTAAGGCATTGCACTGTTTCAGAATTGCAAGCCGCCTCCCTAGCATGTACATCATCTTTAGGTGAGTGACAGTAACTCTCAGAGGCAGAGCACTTGACTTGCATGCTGGAGCTTTGATCTTTGGTACCTCCAGGTAGCAGGAGGTGGGAAAGAGCTTTGCCTGAAACCCTGGAAGACTGCTGCCCATCAGAGCAGGTGGCCTGACCTAATGTAGCTTTCCAGGTTCTTATCAGTAAGCAGCTGAAAATAGTAGCTGCCTCAGACATGGCTACCTGGAACAGGAAAACAGGAAGCTGTGTCACTAGTGAGCTAAGAATGATGTCCCAAGAATGATGTCTTCCTGTCCCAAGAATGATGAACGGATGTTATCCATAAAAGTGCCTGTACTAGAAAGGGTAAGCACCACATGAATGAATGAAGAGCTGCTTGCAAAGCGTTAATGGCCTCCTGAAACACATTTGCTCTTGCTAATGCTTCACATCAGACCCTAGCCTGCATTTCCTTGATATTTATCCTGTTATTCATCCCTTTGGCAGACAGTGGCACAATATCAATAAGACACATGCGTTTCATATATAGGGCCAAGTCTCTGTTTTAGCCATGCTGTCTGTGTCTTTTCCTGTCTTATCTGCTTGGGGTGTCACCTGAGCATACAGAGATGAAGACAAAAGGAAGTGGAAAACAGCCTTGAGAGGGACATTGTGCTGGCTGACACGGGCATGTAAATTTCCACCACATGCTTCTCTCATATAGCATATATGAAGAGATTTAGGCACACTTAAGCGTGTTCTTTACTCAACGCTTCTGGTTCTAACGAAATGTAAATAGCACTTGGGCTAAGAGAGTATAAATTTCTCATTGCAAGTTATATTTCTCTGTGAACCAACTGATGTTTTGGTGGTTGTTCAGTGTATTCGACAGTGCAGTTTTGACTTCGCAAAGGTATCTCATGCATTCATGGCTATGCCATTTACTGAAACTTAAACCTTTTTAAAGAACATTTTATTTTAGAAAGGCTGAGTGCTCTCTTGCTCCTGAAATCCTTTCAAAGAAGGTGGCTAACATAACAAAGACTACCCACCTCATCAGAACTGGCTCCATCTTGAACCAATAATAACCAACCATTTTAGCAGCAAATTCCAGAAGGGGAAGCTCTCCCCCTGTCTTCAACCTTCCTCTTTCATCATAACTGTTGGTGAGGGGTCAGCAGGATTTTGACTTTTTGCAAACAAAACAAAACAAAACAACCTGTCATGGCTAGCACATGCCACCACCTCCCGATGTCCCACATTTTGCGCTTGTTCCTTTTAAACAATTCCCACCCCCTGGGAGTGGCGTAGCGTGGGGGGTGCAGGGGGCCTGCCGCACCGGGCGCAACATCTGGGGGTTAGGGTTAGGGGGCACAAATCCACGGGTTAGGGGGCGCAAATCCATGGGTTAGGGGGTGCAAATTACTTGCCTTGCCCCGGGTGCTGACAACCCACGCTACGCCCCTGCCCCCGGGGTGTGTCACCTCCCCAATGCTAAAATCCATATCTCCTCTGATATTATATCACCACCACCAGTACTATTTTCCTTCTCTGTGGACTTATCTCCTTATCCCTTATTGGATTAATGGCACTGCCGTTGCAAATACCATGCTAAAGGTAAAAGTATTCGGAGGGATTGGGAATCTGGAAAGGCCCTTAGATCTTGAGAAAGATAAGGCTATTAAAAGCAACAGGGCTTGTCTAGGCAAGAAGCCAGAACTTTGTGTCAAATCCATTGCTTCCCTCACCAAAGTTAACAGTGGGGGCTGGAGTCTCTGCAGCTACTGGGAAACACCGAGTCTGGGAAGGAAGTGTACATTCAAAGCACTTACTGCTAGGCTAGAAAGCAAGCAGCTGGCAAAGTTCTCTAAAATGAAATGGCAGATCTTCATATTTTCACCACCACTTGGGTTCAGTGTTAGGAACCTGATAGTTGAAGGACCTGAGCTGCCTACATCTCCCTGTTCCCAGAAGTCTGTCTCCGGACACTGTCGTCAATCTCAGAGTTCATTTCCTGGTTAAACAAACAGCAATTAAACAACACAAGACGGGGCAACGCCTAGAGACACTGTCTCAGAACTCGCCCTAGACAGGCCATGTGACACCAGGGGTACCAGTGTTTTGGCTTTTGGCTCAAGACAAATCAATCACTAATAGAATGGCTGACTGTGACAAACTGTATACAAGAAGAGAGAAGGGGCCTTGGTCAGTAGTGAAATATGCTCCGCTTCTTGGCATATGTGAGCCAAGCCCATCAGTAGAGGACGTGCCGAGTGGCCAGGGTGCATTTCAGGGCTTTCTGGCGCTGCTGTTTAGCAGCTTCCTCTGTACCCAAGTGAATGTGTGCATTATTTATATACATGTGTGCCCCTCTCTGTCTGCCTGCCCATCACTCTTCCAAGAAAGCTTATGCCACTGTAGTATTTTGCGATGTCACTGGAGTCTGTTTACTTCCTTTTTAGTGTATGTTTCCTTGACGTTTGGTGATGGGAATTGTAGTCCAAAAACAGCTGGAGATCCAAGTTTGGGGAACCCTACCCTAGAGATTCTAGGGGCATGCTATGTCTCACAAAAGCAAGGAATGTGGTGGCAATAACTTTACCCATCTTTTCCGGAGCTGGCCCTCTGTATATGTTACAATAAATGTCATAAATTTAATTTGTTCTGTTATATAGTAAATTAAGAAATAGCTAGAACTAGAAATAGCTAGAACTTGGAACAATTTTTGTCTAAGAAGGGGCTCCTGTTCTTTCTGAAATTATCCATTTCTGCCTTCCTTCTTTGTTCCTTACGTATAGGGTAATAATCTATAGCTAAATTAACCATGCTGTTTTAATAGATTATTTTGAGTTTCCCAATAGCTCTCAAATGTCACCCTTGCAGTAATTATCGTACGGAGAACCAGCTCCATGTGATCTTTAGAAATTAACATTCCTTGAAAAAGCAAATCAGAAGCGCAAAGCATAATTTATACACCATACTTTATATTTCCTGCAGTCATTCTCCTGTATGTCATCCCCTTGGACGTGTGACTCACATATGGGAAAAGATGAGCACCTAATCAACATTTTGCATTAAATGGATGAAATACCTTTTACATTCTCTTAGCAGACAGATGCTAGGATGTGGCCTATCAGTTGTGCCTGCTTGCCCCATATGGAAAAGATTAACCAACCTTTTCATATTATATGGTTGAAAGATCTTGCACATTCCTCTACCTGACAGATACTATGATGGGGTGTATATGTTGTGTTGGTTTGTGGGTGTGTATTGAAGTTTAAGATTCGCCTCCACAGTACTTTGATGTTCTTATACCACCAGGTCCAAAGAGTGTTCAGACTGTTATGGAGAATTTTTGACCTTTGTTTATTTTGTTTTGTACAGAAAGAGGGACAATGCAGAGCCCACCTCATTGCCCAGGAGCTTGTGTCTTCAGAGAAAGAGTAAGTCCACCAGCTAAAATTTGGTTTGCAGTAAGCTGGGCTGTGCATTGCACACTGATTTATTCAGTGGTAGCTGGTTGACAATTAATAAAACTGTCTCTTTCCACAGATATGTGGAGATGCTCCGGCTGTTACATATGGTAAGTAAATCATTTTAATTGTCAAAACCTAATTGCTCTCTTACTTAGGTATAATTTAGGAGACAGAAAAGGCAGTTGAAGAGGCTGAGGTGAACTCTGTCAGGAGTGGCTTGTCATGCAGAAATGCTCATTGGACCATTGCAAAGGAATCTGTCTTGTGATAAAAGCTATCCTGCTCTGTATGTGCCAGACATGTAGACTCTCGAGTTCCTCATCAGTCGGAATAGAATTTTGACCGAACAGCTTGATAGGATGATTTGTCTAAAACGACATACTTTTTCTTGAAATCCATTTCATGGACAGAAGAGAAAGAAATTTGGAGGCATTGTATGAGTATTTCCTTACAACTTTGGGATGGGAAGAAGGAATAATTCTTTAGAGCTGCTTTCGTCAGCATGGGATGACTCCAGCGAATTCTTCCCCTATCTCTGTGCAAACAAATATTTTGTATGGTTGAGAAATACAGTCAGCTCCCACTTGGATCTCAGACCTTTGCAGTTCACAGGTCTCTTGTGGAGCCAAAAGCATAAATCATCTCTTAATCTAAAAGACATTTTCTCATTTTTGCACTAGTGGGAATTTCTTGTATGAATCATTTTGTGTGGGGAAAATTAATAATTACAAGGTCGAATAGCTCATTGTTAACCAATAAGTCAGTTAATTAACTGACCATTGCTGCAGTCCTAATCACACTTTCTAGGCTGTAAGCTCCGTTGAGTTGATTGGGACTGCCTTCTGCATAGACAAGCTTAGAATAGCACTGTACGTAAATGGCATGGAGTTCTCACTGGAGATGGCATTCTGGGAAATAATGTGAGAATCTCTGTGAGGTCACCCTAAAGTACCAGTGTCTGGAACAAGCACCTATTAACTAGTGGCTAGGTGGTCTGGTAATGCTTTGGACTCCCTCAACCTGTTATCTTATCAACCATTCTGCGCAAAACAATCCCCACCTGTTGTGGTGTAAGTCCTTCTGGTGGAAAGTCTGAGTCTGAGCCGATGATATTCACCACTCACTTCCTTCACTTCTGCCTTGTTTAATTCACGAACTTTCCAGAAATCTTTGTGTAATATGGGGTTGACCAGATGTCACATAGCTCAAGGAAGGGGGGGGAGAGATATAGGCTAGAAGAGCATGCTACTCATTTCCCACTGCCAGGGATGTCAGCTGACTGTTTCATTTTTCTCCCTTTTCACGTGCTTCTTACACGATACTTTTCTCCAATCAACATTGTTGTTAAGTCTTTTCCTGGGCTTGAGCCTGTGATTGATATGCAGGGGAAAGTGATTTTTAAAAAGCCTCATGTGCTTTTTATTTTTTCATTGTTGGCATTGGTCTGTCTCAAGAGACAATGGAGTGTGCATCCAGGGGTGAAGTCAAACTGCTGCTTTAGCAGCACCAAAGTGAGCTCCTCAGGGTGCATGTCTGGGCAGTGTGCAAGGAGGTCCTGGGCTGCTCAGACCACAAGACCCCCTTCTCGGCCTCACTGATGTGGTCCAAAGGAAACCACATCCTGTTTGGCTGCAGGAGTTGCTGGAAGGAGGCGTACAAGACGCCATCCAACTGTTTTAGGGACACCGCTCTGGATTTGTGTAGGCAGGGTATACTTCTGAATATATTCTGCAAGGCAGCAGATGTCTAGGATCAGAGTTTTCTTTCTGCTAGATGGGCTACCTTCCCAAGTGGATGAGCCCCATCTGCCCCTCACTTCACAGCATTTGCAGAAACCGCCTTCTTTGACCATTGGCCCCACTATTTGTCTCGTCTGCTCCATCTGCTGGAGCCTGTCTTTGCATGTCCCTAACTCACTGAGGGTTTGATACCCATTGGCTCCCTTCATCTGTTTTAGCTGGCCAGTCAAAGCTGTTTCCCGGGTTTGGCCGCTGTCGCATGCTGACAGCTTCTAGGAGCCACAGGTAAAAGTTGAGTGCAGGGTGAAAACCGAAGGTTGACACACTATCCCAGAAGGAGCATGAAATGAAATGTTCCCCCACCGGAGGTTCTACCCCTTTCCTCACCCCATGCACCCCAATTTTATTCATATTAAGAACACAGGAGCAGAGCCACAAACAGAGGGGGGATTGGCAACCCTAGGATTCCTTCTTCTTGTCAGCTATTTTAACATAGGTAGTTTTGTTATTATTAGGAACACACTTAAAAGGTAAAGGTACCCTTGACCACTAGGTCCAGTTGCGGATGACTCTGGAATTGTGCTCTCATCTCGCTCTATAGACCGAGGGAGCCGGCGTTTGTCCGCAGACAGTTTTTCCTGGTCATGTGGCCAGCATGACTAAGCCGCTTCTGGCGAACCAAAGCAGCACACGGAAACGCTGTTAACCTCTCCCCGGAGCAGTACCTATTTATCTACTTGCACTTTGACATGCTTTTGAACTGCTAGGTTGGCAGGAGCTGGGACCAAACAATGGGAGCTCACCCCATCACGGGGATTCGAACTGCTGACCTTCTAATCGGCAAGCTCTAGGCTCTGTGGTTTAGACCACAGCGCCACCCCGGGCACACTCTTAAACTCCCTTATTTCTGATTCATTATCACTGTTCCTGTCAATTCAACTTACGGGGGGGGGGGCCTTTTTTTAAAAAACCACTTTGTATCTTCTGTTACATCTCAAGAGAGCAAACAAAAGTGCACCACACCTTCATTTAGAAAAAGAAAAATTCTTTTTATCTCCTTAAAGTCTCAGGAACACCAACTTTTCCCTGACACCTCCCCCTCCCCGCAAATCGGAGCAGATCCCCACTCCATTCAGCGGAACTGAATCAGTTTGGCCTTTCAGCAGGGACCTTAATAGTTTGATTGATTGCCAAAATGATGACATTTCCATATACTCACTCTGCTATTCAACCGAAAGAGTGGAAACATTGTGTGAGCTCAAACTTTATATTAGCTGGTGTGGCTCAAAAATAAAGTGTATGATGTTAATCTGGAAGTGTAGCTGCTCTTCATCCAGCTTTGATTACAGTGTTTTAGTAAGAAGTTCAACAAATTGTGGGGAAAGGAGATTGGGCAAAATTAAGAGGAAAACTAAGTGGAGAGTTTATCCATACCATGTTCATCATATGATGACTGCAGAATCAAGTGCTGACTCACATATATGCCACTAGAAAGCAAACACGATAGAGAGAACTTGCACTGTCACTAGGCACCACTTCAAACAGGGCAAGCCCAAGAAATTTTGCTGGGAGATAAGCCCCAGAAGTGGTGGGAGGTTCAGCTTCCCACAGATTTCTCCTCCCGCCCATGAAATTTCCCAGGTGATTCCCCCTTGCACCCCTCAACCCCACTGTGGCTCAGAATTTGAGCTGAAAGCTCTTTGTAGAGAACATTTGTTTCAGTACCATCATAAGTCCTTCCATTTGTCATTTTGCTTTTGCATCAGTGGTTTGCTAGAAAGACAGAAAGCATGAAGACCAAACTGAATATAGCTATACAATGCTACATGTGTTGCAAACATCATGAGATTTGAGCCAGCAATAATTAACTGGAAATGATTAGGAGGGGTAGTGAGCAATGAGCCAAAGCACACTTTCTTCTGCCTTGGGTTTCTTGGACAGCATTGAAAGTCCTGTTGGACTAATCAAGTGCTTGTTTTTCTAATGAAATCTCCCAATGAATGGGAGAAGTCTGTCTAAATGAAAAAAAATACGTTGAATGTTACAGTGCCCAAAGCACTTGACAAAAGCTTAGAGGGATATAACATCTGAGAACAATAGGCTGTTTTCAGCTGCAATTGGCTGATTCATTTATTCTTCTGCGTCTTCATTTTTTCCTAGTCAGCAGGTGGGAAAATAACTCTTCATGGGTCTTTACAGAGGGAACAGGAAGCCAAAATGGCTGTTCAACTACTTAGTGTCCCTCCTTTAAACGCACACGCACACACACAGAGAGAATGTGTGCCAGCCCTTCTTGGCCTTTGGCCAAGTACTTTGCAAACAGCCTACTGGTACAGTATTTGAAACGTGCATTGTACAGTTTGCCAGTGCTTAGCCTCATTTGATTTTGGTGTGTGTGCAAGTTTGTTGTGTGTGAGTGAATGAGTGAGTGCATGTACTGAGTTCACGATCCATGACCTAATTTCCACCCAGCAGTTGAAGGATAGTAGGCAAATTGTGTCTGCTGTGTTAGAATTTACTGCAGCTCATCTTCAATTGGAAAAACAGGGTGGCAATAAAGATTCAGAGCGTTGCTGTTCTCTGCCGTGCAAGGCCACTCATTCTGCACCCTCAGAAATGCCTCAGCTTAGCTCAAAGCATAGACTGTGGTAGCTTGGTCCTTGCTCAACTTGGAGACTGTCTTGTACTCTGTGTGCCATCAGGGTCTCTTAAATCTGATAAGAACAGTGCAAGTTGCTGAATCAGTGCACCAAGTACATATGACATGAGGAAGCCATCAGGCTTTCTGGTTAGCTGACCATACTGATAGCATGGTCTCCTGTTTTCTCCTTGGCAGCCCCCCACCTCCGCAATGCCACTTCTACAGCAGCCTCTTGGCAGATAGGTGTTGTTGATCTCATCCCACCCTTTATCCTCCCCACCCCCCATTCCTGGTCTTGATCTTCACTTACCTCTTCTTCCCTGGTGGAGTATGTGTGCCATTTTGTGGTTCACCTCAGGTTGGGCTGGCCCTGGTTGAGATTAACCAGCATTTAAGGTTCAGACATAATGCTGCACTACTTTTCAATTGAGCAGCTGCACAGGTGGAGGGAAGAGGAAGAGGGAGCTGACAAGTCCCAAGATCATTAGTGTAATAAGCCATAGTTTATTTTTACATCTGAATGCTGCCATTGACTAATTGACACTTCCACCATTCATTCATGAGAGAGAGAGCTACAAAATGCTGGGATTCAAATTCTCTTGCTTAGATCTCAGGACCATGTCACATTTATGTTCTACACAGTGTCTAGAAAATAGCTGGCACTCTGTGAATGTGAAATAACAGTTGCAATTTTTTTAATGGCAGAAATAGTGCCAGGAGCATACAC